GACATTTCCCTGCAATCTTTTTAAACATCCCTTGTATATTCCTCCTGAATTTAGAAATCATCTCAATAACAGATGTGGTATATTGAACACTAATGATCGAAGATCAAATATCTTTTTTTTTTGGTATATCTTTTCATTGCCATGGTTACAATCCCCTCCATGCATCATCAACCAATCAAAGGGTATACCCTGCAAGCCTGCCTACCCCCGGGTCGTCAGCACACAGTCGCTCTCCCTCTCTGTGTCTAAAGTCTTCAACTGCTCCATCGCTCCACATCATCATCTCTGCCTCCATTTCAGGCATCACTGCTTCTCTGGGTAGGGTCCCGCTCTCCTCTCTTCTCCCTTGATGGTCCCAGGGACCTCTGCTCCTAGGCAGAAGAGTTAATCACTCCCCTCCTTGCTACAAAACGTCTACCTTTACATTTCCAACCATCAAAGTGGTTTTGACAACAATTATTCACTATTGTATCACAAGAGACCCATCCACGTTTCATTTCATCAGCCCCGCCTAGACAGATTGTATACTACTCAGTGGAGATTCTACCTTCCTTCACGCCCTCTGAATCTAGGGGTTCCCTCTTGAAAGCTTGTAAGCCAGTCACTTCTTGCCTTTGTAGCCCCCCATTTTGGGTAGCCAATGTCCAAGTTGCCCATCCCTGTCTACTCTGTATATGGAGGAGGTGAGAATGATCCTTGCTGTAAGGATTTGTTCCCTCTTTTGAGCTACTTTTTTTTTTTTTTTTAATGTATTGAAAAAAATCTATATTTAGAATTAGCCGGCTGTACTCAGTTTAGATGACCTCAATTTTGTTGGCAACATCCAAAGCACCCTAGTTAGGAGCCAGTTGAACATACGCATTCTTTTCTCCATCACGTGTTGACCTTGGCTACGTCAATGTCATAGCGTTCCTTCACAGCCTGCTTGATCAGGTGCTTGTTGGCCTTGACCTCCACAATAAACACAAGTGGGTTATTATCTCCAGTCTTCTTCATGGCTGACTCAGTAGTCAGAGGGATGATGGCATAGTGGTCAAGCTTGTTTCTCCTGGAGGCACTCTTCCGAGGATATTTGGGCTGCCTTGGGAGTCTCAGAGTCTTGAGCCACTGGAGGGTGGGTGACCTGTGGATCTTCTTCTTTTTTGTGTGTGTGACTGTGGACACCTTTCAGCTCTGCCTTCTTTTTTGTGTGTGTGACTGTGGACACCTTTCAGCTCTGCCTTCTTTTCTGTGTGTTTGGCTGTGGATGCCTTTCAGCTCCACCTTCTTGACCTTCAATGCCTTTGCTTTGGCTTCAGTTTTGAGAGGGACATGGGCTTCCTTCTTTGCTTTTGTTGCCATCTTCGTAAAAAGGCAAAGATTAAATGATTTTGTAAGATGATTTCAAAGACATCATCCATGAAGAAAGCAAAAGGTCATTAAAGAGGCGGGAAGGAAAGAAAAGGCCAAAGTGAACGTCAGGAGAGACTCTGAAACTTGCTCTTGAGTCTAGCTAGAGTGAAAGGAAGCAATGAAGAAATAAAGTTGCTGGACAGAGATTTCAAAGGGAGGCTCAAGAACACAAAGTAAATATTATAATGAAATGTGCAAAGACCTGGAGTTGGACAACCAACAGAGAAGACTATGCTGGGCATTTCTTGAGTTGAAGAAAAAATTCAAGCCTGGAATTACAATATTGCAGAATTATGTAGGCAAGATATTGAACGACTCCAAAAGATGATGGGAGGAATACAGAGTCACTGTATTACAAAGCAGTGATGTTCAATCATTTCAAGAGGCAGCATATGATCAACAAGCAGTGTATTGAAGTTCATGGTGCACTGGTCATTGGCAAAAATCAAGGCTACAGGGATGGACAGAAAATCCATTGAGATGGTTCAACAACTGAATACAACACTGGAAGCACTCACTTGTCTAGTCGCAGAAATCCGGGAGATAGCTATCTGGAAAATTGATGGAAGAGATCCATATTGTGCCCATTATACAGAAAGGTGACCCAACAGAATATGGAAGTTACTGAACAATATTATTAATGTCACATGCAAGTAATGTTTTGTTGAAGATAATTAAAAATTGGTTGTAACAGTACACTGACAAGAAACTGACAGAAGTTTAAGCCAGATTCCGAAGAGGATGTGGAATGAGGGATATCATTGCTGATGTCAGACGGATCTTGGTTGGAAGGAGAGAATAGCAGGAAGATGCTTACCTGTGTTTTAATGACTATGCAAAGACATTTGACTGTGTTGATCATAACAAACTATGGACAGTGTTGCAAAGAATGGGAATTCCAGAACATTTAACTGTGCAACAGAACAGGGGATATTGTGTGGTTTAAAATCAAGAAATTTGTTGTGTCAAAGTTGTATTCTTTATACTTATGCTGAGTAAATAATTCTAGAAACTAGACTATCGGAAGAACAACACAGTGTCAGGATTGGAGGAACAACCTGCAATATGCAGATGAAACAACGTCGATTGCTGAAAACAAAGAGGACTTGAAGCACTTACTGATGAAGATCAAAGCCTTCAGTACGGATTACACCTCAACGTGAAGAAAACAAAAATCTCCACAACTGGACCAATAAATAACATCATGATAAATGAAGAAAAGATTGAAGTTGTCAAGGATTACATTTGACTTCGATCCACAATCAACGTATATGGAAGAGCAGTGGGGAAATCAAATGACATATTGCATTGGGCAAATCTGCTGCAAAAGACCTCTTGAAAGTGTTAAAAAGCAAAGATGTCACTGTGAAGACTGAGGTACTCCTGATCCAAGCCATGGTATTTCCAATCACCTCCCATGTGTGTGGACATATAAGGAGGATCGTAGAAGAACTGATGCCTTTGGGTGATGGTGTTGGTGAAGAACATTGACTATACCATGAACCACCAGAAGAACGAACAAATGTGTCTTGGAAGAAGTACAGCCAGAATGTTCTCTGAGAAGCAAGGATGGTGAGACTTCATCTCATATCTTTTGGGCATGGTATCAGGAGGGATCAGTGCCTGGAGAAGGACATCATGATTGGTAAAGTATGGGGTCATGGAAAAAGCAGAAGACACGTAATGAAAGGGAGTGACACAGTGGTTCCAACAATGGGCTCAAACGTAGCCACACCTGTGAGGATGGTGCAGAACTGACTAGGGTTTCGCTCTGTTGTATATGGGGTGCTATGAGTCAGAACCAACTGAACAGCAACCAAGAACCATGTCTGCATGCCAGGGATGGGGCGTCTTTGTGGCACAAATGGCTAACACTTTCATCTGCTCGCTAAATCCATCCAGAGCACTCCGGAAGAAAAGTCTATCGATCTACTTCAGAAAAAGTAGCCATTAAAAACCGTACAAAGCACGTTTCTCTTTGGACACACATGGATTTGCCATGTGTTGGAATTCAGTCATCAGCAATGGGCTGAATGATATGCCAGGGATATATTTTGTGAATATAAAATTCTGCTAGTATTCAGGAAAACATTTGTTCAGGATTGAATTGTTCCCCAAAATATGTGTTATAAATCCTAACATTGATGCTTGTGGCTCTCTGTACGATAAGCACTAGACTGGTAACCCCAAGGTTAGCAGTTTGAGTCCACTAGCTGCTTCTCAGGAGAAAGACGAGACTTTCTGCTCCTGCTAGGATGTATAGCCTTGGAAACCCTTTACAGGGTCCCTGTGAGTCAGAACTGACTGGACAGCACTTCACAACAACAACAGTAAATGCTGATGGCTATGACCCCATTGGGAAATGAGCTTTCTGTTATGTAAGGAGGTAGAATTCGTGTAGGATGTCTTGATATAATCTTTTATAAGAGATAAAAAGAGAGGAAAGCAAACAAAGATTGGGGGAAGAGAGATGTCTAGCTAAATGAAGATCTCCCTGGAGCAGAAAGTCAGCAGAGAGCTTCATCTAGAGCTGACCAAAGAGAAACTCTGCCCCTGAATTCGCACTTGCAGCCTCCTGGACCGTTGAGGTGTTCTGGTGTGGTGCTGCGGGAGAAACGCTGGACCACAAAGTTGATTTGAACCACGAGGTTGGTGGTTCAAGCTCACCAGTGGCTCCTCAGAAACCCTAGAGAGGGTCGCTATGAGTGGGAACTGACTCAATGCACTTAACAACAACAACAACAACAACAACAACAGACTGCGAGAGAATAGCTTTGTTTTTGAAATCTACCCTCTTGTGGTTTTCCTGTTATAAGCATGTTGGACAAATGAAGACGGTGCCTTTGATTCTCGTTTTACTTAACGTCCGAATGTTCTGTAGAATCTACTGATATGGTATCAGTCTTGGTAATTTACTGATGTGCATCAGAGTAACTTTACTACTTCAAAGCCCATCTTTACTTAGTATACCAATGAATTTAGTTATCTGGTAGGAACAAAGAGTTATGATTATAAATACCAATTCATTAAATTAGAAATAAAATCAAAGCAGCTGCTACTGTGGCAGTTCTGACTCATGGTGGTCCCATGGGTACAGAGAAATGCGTTCCTTCAAGTCGTCAAAGCTGTGACCTTTCATAAGCAGGTCAGCATGACTGTCTTCTGAGGAGTCTCTGGGTGGGTTTGAACTGCCAGCCTTTTGATTAGCAGTGGAGCTTGCTTAACCATAGGCACCACCCAAACAAAAGACCCCAAACCCTAAACTCACTGCCATGGTGTCAGTTCCGACTCACAGGGAGCCTATAGGATTGAGTGGACCTGCTCCTTGAGGTTTCTGAGGCTGGACATCTGCTTCAGATATGGAAGCAGACTGCCCATCTTTCTTTCCGTCAGCAGCCCAGGACCCTTAAATTACCAAGTTCACTTCCAACTATACCACAGAATCAGCTTGTGTTCCTGTAGAACACACGACAAGCTTCGTCAGCGTTACGACATAACGTGTTGCTATGAAGCTGCCAAACCAGAGTGGTTCCCTTGGCCTTCATGTGGGGAGCTGGGTTCCAGTGGGGACGAGCTTGATCCCTGAATGCAGACTCTGCGAGGCTCACCAGTGGGCTTGAGGAGCACGGCCATGAAGTCGGTGGTGTGCGAGCTGACGTAGAGCAGAATGCAGGGCGCCTTGGATGTGCTGAAGCTGAAGCTGAGTTGCTCCAGGGCCAGGTCGGGGGCTGGGCTCTGCTGCTCGCCCTCAGTACGGCCTGGATCTCTGGCACCGGTCCCCGCGGACTGGAAGTTATACCGAAGCCACATTCCCTCCTCGAAAAATGCACCGACGTCTGTGGACAGAAAAGGGGAGAAGGAAAAGTGATGAGAAATGACAGTCAACATGGGTGGACAGTTGGCATGGCAACCCCTCTGAGGAGCTGGCCCCGGGCAAACGCTGGCCCCGGGCATGGGGTCAGGCTAGGGCAGGTATCTGCTCACATGGTTCTTGTTGTGAATGCTCAAGTTCTAGCCCTGTGCCCACGAACGTGGCCTTGTTTAGAGATAGGTCTTTGCACATGTCACCAGCTAAGTAGCTGCGGTTCTTAGGGTGGCCTTGAGCTCATTATGTCTGGTGAATATGAGGAGAAGTCAGAGAAGACAATGCTGCATGAAGACAGAGCGACAGATGGCGATGGCCCTGTGACAACGAGGCAGAGGTGGAATGAGTGATGCAGCTACAAGCCAAGAACCTGGGGCCACAGGAGCTGAGAGCACGGGCCTGCCAAAGCCCAGATTCCTGACTTCTGCCTGCAGACCTGCAGACAGCACAGTTCTGCCCAGCCGTGCCCCTGAACTCCAGCAGCCTAGGAAAGCCTTCAAAGACCTTATTTCATCAAAATGAACACAAAATGTAAGACTATGACAGAATATGAAAATGTGTAATATTAATGAATAAGAGCAAACAGACAACACTTTCCACATCGTTCCTGTGGACTTCCTTCTCTTCTCCATCTCTGTAAACAAATGCTTTACTTTCTCCAAAGCATCCGCTGCCCTTCCTGGCTGCCAGGTTCTGAACTCCCAAGACCCTCCACTAAGATGGACAAGGCACAAAGCTGAAACAACTCGAAGGGAGACACAGCCCTGGGCCAGCCTCAGGGTCGGCAGATTCCTCCTGCTGAATTCTCTGACCAAGACCACCACTATCACCAACAGTGGTGTGGTGACTCACCCAGAAAAGCGCTGCATGCATTTGGGGAGCTCTGCTCCTAGGATTTGGGCATCGCCCCTGTGGGCACTGTGCTCTGTCAGCTGTGCCCCGTTTGCATTCAGCTCTGAGCAGGCATGTTACTACCTTGGACTCCCGGGGCTCTGGTGTGCGAGCCCGTTATGACCATGTACTATTAAGATGCAAGCGTGTAATTACCATGGACTATTATGTATCTGGAGTCCTGGTGTGGTGCTGTGGGCTAATGCATCAAACTGCAAAGTCGTTTGAACTGCAAGGTCAGTGGTTCAAGCTCACCAGCTGCTCCTTGGAAACCCTAAACTGAATCGCTATGGGTCATAATTGACTTGATGTCACTTAACAACAACAACATTATGTATTTATCCATTCATCCACTCATCCAGAATGTCCCTTAGAAGTGAGACCTAAGATTTCTTGCCCCTCGAGGAGGACCTCATGGTCGGTAAGTGGAGGGTCAGTGAGAGACAGGAAGACCCTCCATGAAATGACTGGCACAGTGGCTGCAACATCACAGCAGTTGTGACAATGGACCAGGACGAGGTGGCCTTCCATGGTCATCACGGGCTATGTGCCAGAACCAACTGATGGCCCCTAACAACAGCCAGCAGAGGGTTGGGAGGGTCAAGCTTAGACCACCTGGCTCCTCCTAGGCCTGGAGTCTGCACCTGCTGGCCCTGGACTGTGTCCTGGTTTGGTGGAGACCCCTGAATTTGTTTTGTACTGACCATGGCTACATGGGTGAGAACAGGATGTAAACAGCCACTCCCACATGAAATAAACATGAAGCAATCCTAAACTGGGCTTGCTGTTGTTGTTGCTTTGCTAAGGGCTGTCTAGTCAGTTCTGACTCATAGTGACCCTGTGTAGGGTTTCTGAGGAGTGACTGGTGAGCTTGAAAAGCCAACCTTGTGGTTCAAATCGATCTTGCAGTTCAGCGCATTAACCCACAGCACCGCACCAGGACTCCAAACTAGGGTAGGAATCTCTATTCTGCCAAAATGTATCATGTCATTCATGGGCCATATCAAATTATTAACTTAAAAATTAGCCTGCTATATTTGATCAAACCCGGTTTGGTGCTGTGGGCTAGTGCACTGGACAGCAAGGCCAGTTTGAACTGCAAGGTTGGTGGTTCAACCTCACTAAGCCACTCCTCAGAAAACCTATACAGGGTCACTGTGGGTCAGAACCGACTTGATTGCACTTAACAACAACAACAACAACAACAACAGAATGCAACCCATGGAAAATTTGTTTCCCACTCCTGTAAGGCTTTCTCAAAGTCACTTACTAAAGGTGGTATATATGTACATGGGTACTCATCAAGACCATGCGTTCCAGAGGCCAACACTGCATATTCTATTTGGTTTTCTATCTCTAGCATCTAGCATAGTTGGAGAATATATTAGGCAATTAATACTCATTTGTTGAATGAATGAATGGTATCATGAACCAGTCTGACCAAATTCATTTTTTTCAGGGCTACAGGGATGTATCCTTTCAGCATATTTGTTTAATCTATTGCTGAGCAAATAATCGGGGAAGTTATATTATATGAAGAAGAACATGGCTTCAGGATCTGGGGAAGGCTCATCAACAACCTGTGATATACAGAAGGTGTAAACCTTGCTTGCTGAAAGTCAAGCGGACCTGAGGAACTTGCTGATGAAGCTCAAAGAATACAGCTGCTATTACAGATTGCAACTCAATGTAAAGACAATACAAATCCTCACTACTGAACCAATAAACAACGTCATAATAAATAAAACAGATTGACGTGTCAAGGATTTCATTTTACTTGCATCCACAATCAATGCTCATGGAAGCAGCAGTCAAGAAATCAAATGATGTATTTGCACTGGACAAATCTGCTGCTCAAATGTGTTAAAGGGCAAAGGTGTCACCTTGAGTACTAAGGTGTGCCTGACCCAATCATGGGATTTTCAATGGCTTCAGATACACGTGGAAGGCAGACAATGGATAAGGAAAACCCACCTCCTCAAAAGAAACAGGAAACTTGATGATGATATATTTTATCACCATCTATGGTTTCTCAAGGGCTACTTCTCCAAAAAAAAAGAAGCAAAAAGTAAAGATTCATATTAAAAATAGCAAGAAATAATTGGCAATTAGCATATTTTGGAGAAAAGAAGTCCAAGTTTATGAATTATGAATTATCCAGAGTTTGTGGCCAGTGAGGTTGTCAGCGGAGTTACTTACAGTGTCTACCTTTTGGTGGAAAGGAGGGAGAGAGGAGGAAGGAAGGGAAAAAGGGGAGAGAGAAATGAAGGAGAAGAAAAGAGCTCTAGGCTCCCTCCCTTCCCAGAATATCCGTGCACAGCTCTGAGTTACTGGACACTCTGTGCCCCTGCCACCTCGAAAACCTTCTTGGAGTCTTCACACCAAATGTTTTGTATTTGTCTGGGGAAATTAACATTGTGGAGCATTTCAGACTCTTTCCCCTCTACATCAATGAAAACAATATTTCATTACAAAGCTGACAAATAAAACCTTTAATATTTTCTTCTTATAGTAGAAAATTTCCCCACTTTATCGATTCTTGAAGCATCCTCTCGTTTTCTCCCACCAAATTTGTAGATGTATATATTGTTATATGAAATCTTCATTCTAAGTTGAAATAAACATACTTGCAAAAGGCTTTCCACTAGCATCTGTACCTATCTATCTAGACACATAAAAGGAGCACAGTGGCTCCCTGGGATAAACACTGGACTGCGAACCACAAGTCCCGTGGTTTGAGCCCATCTGTCATTCTGAAGGAGAAACATGAGGCTTTCTGCTCTCGTAAAGATTTCTAGCCTTGGAAACTCTATACAGGGTTGCTGTGAGTTGGAACTGACTGGATAGCACACACCAATACTACAGTACTTATAAAGTCATCCTCAATGTGGTTTTTCAGAAAATAAATTTTCATAAAATGTGCTAGCCCCCTAAACTATGTCTGTGTCAACATTGTGTGTATACATATTGTGTATATATAAACATATATGTGCATGTATCAACACCGTATGTGTGTAAGTATAAACATTGTATGTATAAACATTGTGTGTACAATCATTGTATGTGCATATGTATAAAGTGTGTGTGTCTAGTGTGTGCATGTATAAACATTGTATGTATAAACATTGTTTACACATGAACTTTGTGTGTGTATAACATGTGTACATTGCATGTATAAACAGTTTGTGCATGTATGGACGTTGTGCATATATAAACTTTGTGTGCATAAACATTTTGTTTATATGTATAAACAGTGTACTTATAGTGTGTGCATGTGTAGACATTGTGTGTTACAAACATTATGTGTGTATGATGAACACACACACACACGTACTTTCTGGAACATCTTAAAGTGACTTTCTGGAAGCATCTGCCCCTAGTTACCTGTTATGCCCCAGCTGGTGCAAGGGTCTGCCCCCTGACTTGCCCTCAGACATGAGGGGGCTGATACACAGACTCCACAAGGTGTGTGCTGTTCTCAGGGTTCAGGAAACCCTGCAAAGATGCACTGTGCATCCGAGGACACCGCTTTGACAGTGGCTCTGCCTGTCCCACTTACTGGCCTTTTTGCTTTCCTTGTTTCTGCTCCACACACAGTTCACAAAATGAATGCATCTTTTTAGCCATAACATTCCTCGCCTATTGCCATCTCATCTCCTCCAAAGTTTGGGTGGAAATTTAACATAATCACTTATTTCTAATTTCTTATTTTCACCCTCTGGTCTCAAGGTGTAAGGAAAAGTCTGCAAACGAACGACGCTGTTGGGTCTGGTGATACGGTGACCAAGAACGGAGAAGTTGAATCATGTGACCCACTTTATTCTCACGGGGGCTGACCCATCTGAGGAGGTGTTTGTGTACAAAAGCTGCTGGAGTTTCACTGGTTTGTCTCCTGAGAATCAGAGAAACAGACCAGGCAAGCCCTCCCATGGCAACAGAAAGAGAAACTTCCAATGACAAGCTGGTTTAGTGAACGTAATCACAAAATGTTTTAAAAAGTTAGTTCTTGTGCTTGGCAACTGCATAAAACAGGACTCACTAATGTAATTTAGGAGTCTGGGAGAGAGGCTGTAAACACTG